AAAAACTAAAACATCTGTACAATATTGTTAGCAAACGACTTTTGACTTTGCTACTATGCTGCAGTAATATATAGGATTTGTTTTACCTCGTGGAGCCCCATCACGTAAGTATTTTCGGGTTGTGTTAATTTTCGGAAAAATTAATCTCACTTCGTACCCCGAAAATTTAGCCACATATGTGAAAATGTCTCAGTTTCGAAACGAGCCATCATTCATATCCAAGTTTACGATATGAGCAGAGGAATTGAGGAAAAGGCTACCATTACCACGTACTTGAAATTAATTACGCATCTGTGTCAATATAGTAAATAATAACCATAAAACATAAAAAACGAGAATAATGAAGACAGCGAATATTTTACTGTCCCATCTAATGCCCAAACCGCGAAAAAAAACCGACGCGAAAATAACACGATTTGTGGTATAATTTTCACGAATAAAAACAACTGCGGAGAAACCTTTTCCCAAGTGTAAAACGAACGAATCGTATTGGTTCATATGACATAGCTGATACGGTCCTTATAAATTTATGTTGTTAATCAATTCTTTTGACAGCGGGATATTGTCTCCCCGAGAGTGGCAAAAGAGAATCATGGGAAGTTTCCTGTACAACATTAAACACATGATTAGGCACAAGACAGCCATAATCATGTGGTACATGTACAAAGGATTATAAAACTTTAATACGAAAAACAGATATGACAGACATGAACCAACGACAACTACTGAACTACTGGCTCCTGACTTGGGACTGGAACATAAACAATGTGGCGGGGTTAAACATGTTTGTGAGCGCTCAAACCTCCTCTAACCTGGGACAGTGGTTTGACAGTACAACAAAAGAACAAACTATAAAAATCATATGATAAGGGCTTAACTCAACTGATCAATACAAGGCAAAAATAATTTACAAAAAGCACAGATCGGACGTTGCAGGATATTTATACATCCCCTCAAGTATGTTGATTTGTCAATATTTATTTTGAAAAGTTGTTTATGAATGCCAGCACATTCATATATTGTTCGTTTATATATGTTATATATCGGTACATGCTTCGAATATCCTTAGGACAAGAAAAGACATGTGTATAACTTATTCATCTTAAGCGCATACAAACAGCTCCTCGTGCAATAAAATCACTTGAACTTCCTTCTAAAATTTACGTCACATATTTTTCCGTGTAGTTATGCGTGACTAAAAAGAAAGGTAATATTATGTTACATTGTAAACAAATATTGTTAGGGACATAGAAGTGTTTTTGGAAAGACGTCCGGTAAGACCTCTTGTTGGCTCCAAAATATAACATTTTTACCAATTTCTTGAGAATGTAAACTTTAAGCTTTTTATTTGCAAGTAGAACACTTTTGTGACATACATATGGGCTTTTTTTTACAATACAATGTACACGCATCAGGTACTACCATCAATATTGCATGCAATATTACTGAACTCTTCACAATTTTGGCATTTGTGCTATTGTTTAGACAATTTTGGTCTAAAATGAAAGTGGTCGCACTTGTGTTCAGTCTTATTATATAAATATATGTTGTATTTGATGATAATACATGCACATAACATATATAAAGGTTTAGACTGAACACGAATGCGGTCACTTACATTTTAGACAAAAAACATTTAAAAAGTGACGTTTTATTGCATATTTGATAGATTTTTCATATTCAAGGTTTAATCTGAGCGTCTTTAATGACCAAATAAGTTCAATTGTAAAACAAAAACCAATTGAATCGACACATGTGATTTAAGAAATATTATAAACATCTTTCATCAGATGAACTTCGAATTTAAGGCCAAAATAAGCCCTTATCGGACCTTCTACTTCTTTACCTTTATCAATTAATTATGCTAATGAAATATTATGATAATAAGCTGCACTGTGCATTTTAGCTTCATACATAAGATACAAACTAGTAAAGTCAACCTTTTAGTTGAAGAAATGATACTGAAAACACATATCCCCACACAAAGAGTTAAAGGTAATTTTTCAGCGAAGAAAAAGAGATACGCCATGACTTCATAATCAAAATGCAACACTTGACATGTTTGTTTACTGGAAGTGTATTAATTTTAAATTAAAGATGTAAAAACAATTATGGTCAAATAAAAAAAATAAAAAACTCAATGCATAAGCTACTGAAAGTCGGATGGCTTACAAAATATAATAAACACGTTGATAATGCATGATGCTAACATTTACATTGACTTTTTTACCAAGTGAATTGAACGAAGAGGTAAACAAATGGTAGTTGAAAGGTCTATCTTAGAATGAATTTGTAGTCAGAGGCTGACAACTTCCTAATACCAAAGTTTTACGTTCTTTGTTTATCGATGTCATTCATATGTCACTTATTTTAGAAAGTGTGCTCGATTTAGATTGTTCTGTGTTGTTATGTGAATGCTATAATTGAGTCCGAATAAAAAGAAACATCCCAAGGCATAATATTGTTTATCCTTTGAAGTAAACTAACTTATAGTATTTTATTCCTTTTATTGATAAACAACTTATAAAGGGTCACCTAAAAAATTTCCATCCATCAAACATATATGCAGCTCAATGAATGCACAATCGTTTCAACTGCATAGCAAACATCCGCTTTTGGATGCGCTATGCAGTTGAAACGGCACACACATGTTTTCCTGTTCAATGTTTTATTCCCAATGCAGTGCAGGAAATCATGATTTTGCGCAATGCCAAAATATAAGCATCAACAGGATTGATGACCTTATATATATATATATATATAGTAGTATATTGCATATGTTGTTTTGATAGGCATATGAAGGACCAGATGATTAATATGAATTTGTACTAGACGACACACTGTTCCAAATTTTGAAACGTGCTAGTTTACAAAGTCAGCAAGAAGACATGTCAACCTACCCGGACACATTATTCTTACTCCGGACCAACCAATCTTTACTCTTACGAAATGTCGCATGCATAGCATAGAGGCAGCCAATCTTTGATTTGACCCTTGCGAGGATCGAACACAAGATATCCCGCACTCAAGCAGTGGTTTAGCTTCAATTGGGACAATAAGGCAACAGCTTCATCAAATATGGAATAGGATCCCAGTTGCGAGACACCTGTACCGACGAATGAAGTCCCTTAATAAATCTTCCATCTTTTAAATGGGATATTGTACCGAGATGAAAATTATGTAAAGATGCTTAAATTTGTAGTATATTCATAGGGTATTCATTAAACCTCCAACTTCTATTAATTTGTAAGTGATTCTAAAATGTATAGGGTAGATGATAGTCTGAATAAATGGTTCAAATTTTATTTTCGATTTTAACCAGAAAGTTAATAAAATTACCTTCCTTTTACTCGAAATAGTATTGCTCTCTTAAACTCCTGTCAGCAGCACCTGCATACGGAATATATATTTCCAAATTGATACGATATTCCAGGGCTTATATTTCCTATCATGATTTCCTTCATAGAGAGTTGCTGCTCACAAGGAAGCTATTAAATCAAGAGTTCCAAATGGTGAAGTTGAAATAATCTCTTCGTAAATTTTACCTACGCCATCAAGAGTTGGTTGATCGTTATGGAATATCCGTTTCACAGATGACAGCTGACATGTTCCTAATGTCGTACCTACAATCCCGTTCATTTTTCACGAATGTGACCTAATGTGAATTAGACTTATTACCGGGTTTGTACTAACATGAGCACCACGACGGCTGCCACATGTGGAGCGTGATCTACTTACCCTTCCGGAGCAGCTGAGATCACCAAGTTTTTGGTTGGGTTCGTTTTGCTCAGTCTTTAAGTTTTGTTTTATGTACTATTATTTGTCTGTTGGTCATGGCGTTGTCAATTTTTTTTCGACTTATGAATTTGAATGTCCCTCTGGTATCTTTCGCCTATCGTTTGGAACGTATCCGTCATCATCTGTGGAACAGATATTCCATAACGGTCAACCAACTTGTGATGGCGTCCGTTAAATTTACGAAGGGATGATATTAATGAGTGTAAGCGGTCTAAGGCACGTCTTAGCGGTGTTTAGATTCCAGTCCGTAAGTCGTGAAAGTTGTCACGGATAGAGTAAACTATTGGCCTTATAAAGCTTGTTTGCATCAACAATGAATACGCCCAAAACCTAAAAAGAGGGAAAATTGTAATGTACTAGAAAGGGCAATACTTCCGATAGAGAGTCCACTAGATATTAATATATAATTCAACAAATTTGTAGATCTTTCCTTTCAGATATTTTTTGTGAATAAAGTGTCCTTCTATCTTATATAGTTTTCAAAATAATAGCAAAAGAGCAACAAAAAAAATCGCCTAGATGAAATAAAAAGTAAATGGAGATTAATGACCAAAATGATGATTATATATAACTATAAAAACAAATCTTTCACGTAGCTTCCCGATCCCCAAATTACATTATAAATCGAAACGAAAAAACGGAAGGAAGTCGATATCCACGGACAGGAAGATTCAAATAGATAACGTTTTGATTATTTTGTGTTATCAAAATAAACACCCTTTCTTTTGTAGAGCATGCATCAGTATCTACCTAAGTATTTTCATTGAAATGTGTTTAACATTTCTATAAATTTACAAAAGTAGGTGATTTTATTTTTCTTCGGATGGTTTCATAATTACATAAACGATTTTTTGGTTGATTGTTTCAAATGCAGTTATATTTTGCATTTAATGCACAATCGAGAAATGCTTGAAAAAAATAAACGTGCACACCTTTCTCTAAATATACAGGGTTCATTTTGTTTTGTTGGCTAGTCATTGCTCAGAGAAACACATGTTTAGTTTGCATGCATTTGATGAGATGAAATACTCAATGGAATTAAATAAAACATCTATGTTATCATGATGTTATAAATATCTAGACATGGACAACTGCATTTAATTAATATTAAAGAAATAAATATAACATGTGTAACTATAAACGAAGTCAAACCGGGAGTAGCAAGACCACAAATAATAAAAGCAAGAAGCGCAATGATTATTTATTAAAAGTTCATAGTTGCCAACATTGAAGTCGATATCTTTCATGCAGGTGAACAATGTTCTGATTTCCGTCACTGTCTGCGCTGTAACTTCGTTTAGTATATTCAAATTTTAATGATTCAAAAGATACTGATAGAAACATTTTACACCATGTGAATCTTTTTGCAATATATCCAAAAAGTTAATATAAACATAATAAATGTGTAAAAATCTGGGGTGATGAAAAATGGCTCAACAGATCAGCTTAGTTTTCAACTGAAAAATAAAGAAAATCATGATTGACCAACATTGTTATGAATGAGTTAACACCCACCAAACAAATGAATGTTTATCTTTAGTAACAGACAATTTAATCATAATTTATTAGAACAATCTTATTGATTAATATTGGATTGGGACATTTTGTAAGGGAAACACTAATCGAACAAGAACTAATCAGTGGTTATAACAAAGTACAAGCATTTTACTTTCTTTGATCTACCTATGATAGCACGAAATGTCATCAGTTATACCATTCTGATAATTGTGTTTGGCACTACCAATACTCATTAGTAGTTCTCAAACTTAAAAAATGTATCGAGTCCAAACCATATATATATATTTTAGCACAAAAATGTTCAATGGTAAATCTGCAAATTTGCGGATGCACATTTTTGTTCTTCCCTGCTTCCGCAAATTTGCAGATTAAACATTGTTGTGCTGATATTTAGAGTAATTATGAATATAATATGTGTTTTCAGTCGTGTATCACCTTCACTGGTGATCCGATTGATGGATCTGTCGTACAGTTGTCAGTTGTTTAGACGTACTTACATATTTATATATATGTAGGACTCTAAAGTGCGACGGGGACGCTAAAACGCGATGGTCAAGCTAAAGTGCGATGGCCTACGCTAAAGTGCGATGGTTTGATACGCTAAAGTGCGATGGTCTGTGCTATTCATTTGAACACGCTAAAGTGCGTTTTTCCGCAAAAGTATCGACGTTAGCAACATTCGACAGCATTATGACGAGATTGTTTGTCCAGATTAAGGATTTGTATTACACAAGAAAAGAAAGAAGAGAGAAAGAAATGATCACAATCTGGAACTATTTTGGTCGTTGCTGGAAGAGGTTAACTTAATTTGTAAAATTGTAAAGAGAGCTTTAATCAAAACAGTTACTTTTTTATTGAATAATTCTATAAAAAAAAATTACAATATGGTTTGTTATTTCTGTTAAATAATGAATATACTTCAACTAGACAGCAACCTGACGAGTAGATGTGTAGTATCATCATAAAATATGATTGCCAATACGACAACTCTCTATCCACGACCTAATGTCATTGATGTATGCAACGTTAGGTATGACCTTTAACGCGGAGCATTGTCTTACACAACATATTATTTTTATTAAAAAACGACTTCTACTAAATTCCGGATATACTAACTATATTGCAGTTTAACCATTACATTTTTTGGACAACTATCGTACTTTAAATAAAAATAAGAAGATGTAGTATAAACTATCAATCCAACCCAAAATGTCGTTTATGTATGCAACTAATAATCATACGGCCGTCAACGTAAAGCCTTGGCCCATGCCGCATAACAAGCTATATAGGGTTATAAAATGACCAGTGTAAAACAATTCAAAAGAGAAAGACTACGGTTTGATATATAAATAAAACAATAAACGAAAATGTAATAGGAACTCCATAGGTGGATCCAGGGGGGCCCGGGAGGAGGGGGGGGGGGCGGGCCCCCCTTTCGTTGGAAAAATTTGGTTGATTATATAGGGAATCACTGAAGCATGACTGGAGTGCCCCCCCCCCCCTTTAGGTCAGTCAGCGCCCCCCCCCCCCTTATGAAAAGTTCTGGATCCGCCACTGAAATTTACTCAGCAACAAACGAAAACCATTGCCTGAACCACATTACCGTTACACCATCGGACTTTAGCGTGTCATACCATCGCACTTTAGCGTTATACCTGATCGCACTTAAAAAAAAAAAAACAACCATCGCACTTTAGCGTCTGACACCATCGCACTTTAGAATAGACCATCGTACTTTCGCGTGACCATCGCACTTTAGAATAGACCATCGTACTTTAGCGTGACCATCGCACTTTAGAGTACCATCGCACTTTAGAGTCCTACATATATATATCTTTGTTTTCGTAAACAAATAGGACATTTAAAGTGCAGTGAAAACGAAAAGCTATGATAAATGCAAACAATTCCTGCTGGAAGAAAAACCTTAGTATTTCGAATGTTCTTAAAAATTTTATAAACAGTGAATTAACGGAATGTATACTGGGCTGGTGAGACCTTCGGAAACGAAATACTCAATAGCAGACGCTTTAACGAGTTATTGAAAAACTGCGTTCAATTTTGTTCGTTAAACGCAAATTTTGTCTTCATAAGTTTCATCAGTGGCAAATTATTCCAAGAATTACTGATTTAGTTTTTGTATTAAAGAGTATTTCAATTTAAGTGTGTCAGGTTATATGTATAAGTTTGACTTTCTTGACGACATACTGGTCACCAACATGACCAAGGCGGTACGAGGACAACATTTTCATCCGGAATTCCGTACATTTTTCAGATCGTAACATTTTATTGTTAATTTGGAGTTCTTTGATCTGTGATAGTAACTACCAACTTTGTTTACATTTGTCATAGATATATGGTATGAGTGCCAATGCGACAACTCTCCATCCAAGTCTCAACTTGAATATATTGATTATAACCCTCATTTTTGGCAACGACTTTACGTTGACCACATTATCTTTTAATCAACATCTCCTTTTATTCATATTTACAAAAATGTTTCCATTTAAAAGCAAGCAAAGTTTTTGACGATTTGTATAATATCATTTTATATCCATTATAAATACACACATATATGAATAAAGGGAGATGATACAGCAATTCAATGATTCAAATCGAGTGCGAGAAAGTTGTTTTATGATCGCTCTCGTTTATTTACTGGACATTCTGGGGAAAGTTCCTTAAATGCTTTTTTTGCTGGTTAGTAGTCAGTGTTTTTGTCCGTTTTTATTCATAGCATTGCCTGCCAATTTATACATGTGATTTTTTACCGCTTAATATATCTTATTGTTATTAATATTTTTGTCAGTTCGATTACTGCATATGCTGTGAATTCTTCCCTGGAGGTAACAGTTAGACAAGCACAAATAAACGAATTTTGATGTGAAATTCTTTTATTTTGCTTTTGCAATTATTTTCTTTTTTACTTTGGATCGACAGTATCTCTGGTTTATCTCATTTATTAAGTTTAACAAATATGACAGGTTAACATATATTTATTGAGTTTGAAACTTAATATCTCGGGACCATACCAACGGGACACTCTTACATAATCAAATTTAAACCGAAAATGTTAAACACCCTTCCAGTTATCAGTACTTAAACCTTTAGACATAACACGTATCCATAACTTAGTATGCTTATACTTACGATCGAGAAGACGTTGGGCGAGTCTATCAAGGAAGAATCTTTTTGCAACTGAAAGAAAAAAAATCATAACAATAAAGAAATTCAATGTTATAAAAATATTTTAATAAGTCGAAGCAAAGAGGGCTCGAAAAAAAACGATGACAAAGAAAACTAAAAGAGACTATAATACATTGAAAATACTTACGAAAATTCATAGCAAACTATAGAAAGAGCAACACGAACCCCGGCAGAAAATAGGGGCGATCTAAGGTGCTCCGAGAGAAAGGGCCGATTCTGCTCAACAACATCCCTAAAGGAGTAGGGCCACGAAGGGTTAAAAACAAATATTTATTCTGGTGAATATCACGGACAGTATACACCATGCCCTCTCATGGCGTCGTAATTTTTATTTTAATTAAAGAAATATTGAAAAAGCTTATTTAACCACTGTGCAATATGAAATACAAATTCTCACGTGGTTTCGTCTTATGTCCTACGATTTTCTATGTATGCTATTGTTCACAGTTCTGTAATTTATTTACACCATCCGTAGTAATTATTTAAAATGTTAACTTGGCATGCCATACATGATAGAAAATGCGGACGTGAAGGAAAGCATTTCATCAAAGCGTCAACATAAGATTACAATGCGCGGGTTACCTTTCGACGATTTCGTCTTTAAAAAAGATACGTGTATCTAAAAGTAAATTTGTATTGATTTTTTTATGTTGACACCCATATCAACCTGCTGGATATAAAATTTTACGGAAAAAAACTACGGCTCTAATTTAAAACTGTCATATTTTTGTTTGCAAGGCACAGACCGGGCTAATTATTACAAAATAACGGGGAAATGAACTTTAAAATAACTTGCAAATTCATAATTTTTATTTCTACTCATATTTGTTTTGTTTTCTAATAAAAACAGTTATGAGGACGTATCTTTCCGTGTTTAAAAACCTCGCCGGATCGGCGGTTAACGAAGTTTCGCTGAAAACAAAGACTTGTTATTCCTTTTTCTTCTTTTTTGTTTGTTATAAATAAGAAAATGATAAATTATAGAATTTATTTTATTTATAGCAATTGTACAAGTTCTTGGTACAGTTATTTCGTCACAGAATCTATCCTACCTCGGAAATGGCGGCGTTGAATCAGGATTTGCTTGTTAGCAAAAGTTAAATTTTCTATGTGGCCACAGGCCTCGACCACGCTAAATATTGTTGCAAACTGAATCAAAGTGTCAAACAATCAAAATAAGAGTACAATTACTTTGGTCGAGGCCTGTGGCCAACGCGAAATTTAAGAATAAATGCTAATGCGTCGCCAGTAAACTTAATTTGTGATCATCAAATCACCAATTGATGCCGTCGGAGCTTAAAATACAATACAGTTATCTCCAAAACTTGCATTTTGAAAATTGTTCACCAATTATTAAAGTAAATGATGAGTAAAAGTTTTATTGATAAATTTCCATGAAAAAAATGAACGATGAGAAAATGTATATTTGAGTGCACAATAATCAATTTTAACTGAAAATAAACACTTACATTCATTTACTCTTTCTACAGACACTGTGCCTGTTTGCGGATAGGCATATCTGTCCTCCACTGTAATGTGAAAAGAGGCTAAATTATACCTTGACACTACTTTTAATGTGATTATGATTTTAACTAGCAATAACAAGAAACAAAAATGTTTACTAACTGACTATCCTTGATTATAAAAAAGTCAATATCATAATACTGTTTGCATTGCTGCCTAAATTTTTAAGGACTTTGACAATCACCTACTTTTGAGAAAGATTTTGATGTAATAAGTCGTTAATTTGACAATAATCAACATTGTTTTTGGTAATATGTAAGTAGTTTTCATTTCTACAGAAACATTGTCCGTTTGTGGTTAAGCACTTCTCTGACCCCCCCCCCCCCCCCTGATTAATGACAATATAAAGACATTATACACCAACAGGGTACTTTTCATTTCAAAATTTCTCCTGTAACTGGTATTACTGAACATGTCCGATATTGGAATAAAGAAGTTAGAAGATGCCTAACCCGTCGAGGTTTAATTTGTTCCCCTTTCTGAACTTTATGGATTCATGATTGTTTTACTGTTTTATGTTAGTCCTGACTTTCCTTGATTATAAAAAAATCAATATCAAAATAATGTCTGCATTGCCTTCTACATTTTTCAGGACTTTGACTTTAACCTTAATTTGATGTACAAAGTAGATAGTTTTACAATCATCAAATTTGTTTGTGTTTATATAAAAATGGTATTTTCTACAAAAACAGTGTCCGTGTGTGGGTAGGCACTTCTCTGGCCCAGTGCTAAATTACAATATAAAGAAATTAAACACCGACCATTTACTCTTCCTTCCAATGCAATTTGTTTGTTGACAAGTATTTTGAAGGGTAAGATTTCACGTTCTACTAGTCCGTAACTAAGAAAGACACTGTTCTAATTCCAAATGTTTTGGGTATATAATTTCGCCAAAAAAACATAAGCAAGAAAGTCATTTTTGTGCCTCAAAACCTTTTTTGTCAATATTGAAACCATTCAAAAGCGTACGAAAAGTATAAATTTCTCCTCTGACTGGTATAACTGAAAATGTCCGATGGATTCATTATTGTTTTCTGTTTTAAGTTAGTCCTGGTTTTAACGGTACTATGACTTTGACAATCTTTCTGAACAAAGATACCAATTAACTATTAAAAACGCAATATCAAGAAGAAGGCCCAACATTTTCATTCAACACATTATTCCTAAATATTTGAATTGAGAAAGGGACAATATAAACATAAGTTTATTCATATATATTGTATAACTGCCAATGAAACTACTCTCCACATATGAATTTGATATTTTATGGCGGCCATCTTTGAAAATGCCACCATTTTGAAATTTCAAGGTGGATCAATAGCTAATATTATTTGAAAAATCAAGAACTACTACCATTCCAAATTTGGTGCTGTTATCATCAAACCCACATTTTTTTCATCGATCTGCCGGACTAACAAGACACCAAATGAAACAGAAATTAACAAATACAGGTCTCCGAACGGTCTTCAAAAATGAGCAACACCCATACCGTATAGTCAGCTATGAAAGGCCCCGAAATGAAAAATTTAAAGCAATTTAAACGAGAAAACTAACTGCATAATTTATGTACAAAATAATGAACGAAAAACAAATATGATACACAGAAAACAAACTACAACCACTGAATTACAGGTTTCTGACTTAGAACATACACATACATAATGTGGCGGCGTTAAACATATTAGCGGGCGCCCAAAGTTTCCCTAACCTGGGACAGTGGTGTAACAGTTCAACATAAGCACAAACTATACCAATCAGTTGAAAAGGGCTTTGGCGGTATGGGCTTTGCTCATTGTCGAAGGCTGTACGGTGACCTATAGTTGTTAATTTCTGTGTCATTTGGTGTCTTGTGAAGAGTTTTATCATTGGCAATCATACACCATCTTCTTTTTTTATATTAACTCATCGGATGGATTTAAACAGAACTATATATAACAAAAGCACAGTGTTGACGTTAAATGGTACAGTTGTCATTTAATGAATGATTTGTCTACTTTAAAATAAAGAAACCATATTTTGCTAGTCGAAAATATGAGATTACTTTAGTAAGGCTAAAGAACTGTGTCTGGGATATGAATGAACCTTAAAATTGTGTAAGTTATTAACTATAAGGGTAGTTGTTAAGTAAATGTACACGTATATTATAGTTTGTAATTATATAGGCATATTCACCTTTATTAGCGGGGAAGTATGGAGTTATCTGGTACATTATACATACGGCCTTGACCATTGTTCGGCTATATTTTATATGTTGTGTTTTAGATTTGACATTCTAAGGTTTTTCTTATGTTTCGTTTTAAAAGAGATTTTGAAAACCATTCTTTCATTGTATGGAGCGTGAATCTAATAACGACGTTATAATTTCAATTGCCTTTAGAAAATGAATCAACACTTATTATATTCTATGTTGCATAAGGCTTATTCGTAGCGATGCCAAAAGCGTTAACTATGATGAAAAAGGTCGAGGGAAAGTGTTAACTCTCTATAATAAGAAATAATGAAATATTATAGTATAAATGAATTTTACAATAATTTCACAAGAATTATCTACTAAAGAAGACCAAATCTATAACAATTAATTACAATATAGAATAAAACAAAACTTACATTCGTGCACTTTCTCTGCAGAAACCGTGCCTGTTTGTGGGTAAATATACCGTTTATTTACTGTAATAAGACAATAGAAGATTATGAATACACTTATTTATCATCGATTATATCATGCAACAAAGTTAATATTTCAGACTCAATATAACATATTTGATCACTGTGACATTTGAAGCAGGAGATACATACTTTATTGAGGTATAATATTTACTCCTTTTACAAATGATCCATTTGCAAATGTTTGCAGTTGACTTTTGATTCTTAAATGAACATCAGTTTGAATGATTTATGAACAAATGTATACATATATATCTATATATATATTCGGCCGTTGTCTGCTCTGTGGTCGGGCTGTTGTCTCGTTGACATAGTCCCCATTTCCATTCTCAATTTTATATAACATATATAGGTATAAATCGTCTCAAATATAGCCCAACAATAATTGATCTTCAAATTTTAGTTATCAAACTTTTGGTCTTCCCTCAGCTGGACTGGAACCCTAGCTGTGACAACATGGCAACACTGCCTGTACGTTCTAAACTGTTTGAACTTCTCCTTTTTAATTATCTTATACAGCTTAAGAGGTCTCATGATTAATTTTGTTAATAGTCGCGCGACTTGCGAGTAGCCTTAGTGTTGTGAGGAGATCTCAAATTTTGACAGAGAAGTCTTAGTGATTAATGATTATAGAGATAATGATAGCAGAAAAGACTTTATGAAATAGCTGTCCTGACTCATCCGTATTATTATGACCATATTTACTCTATTGTAATTACATAATACTTGACGTCCTGCAAGAAACATGATTCAAATTTTTGCATATAATTATCTAAAGTTCTCCATCTTTTACCAATACCTTTGACATGTTTACCTTGTTTAAGAAATTGATTGTGGTAAGATTAACAAGCTGCAGATTTGTTTGTGGTACTGTAACTTCATACAATTTTGCGAAATTACGACGGAATATGGTTCGCAAAAATTGAAACTCGAATTTTAAGTTTAGTATAGCATTTTATGTGTGTTATATTTCTTGAAATCACTATTAAGCATCTCATAAATATGTCCATCGATCAAAAATAACAATCATAGTCAACGTTTTAGTTTTTACACATTTATCAATTTTAAATGAAGATTAACACTTACATTCATTTAATCTTTCTACAGAGACTGTGCCTGTTTGTGGATAGGGATATCTGACCTTTACTGTAATGTGACAAATAGGCAAAATTATATCTTGACACTTATACCATCGTGATTATGATTTCTACTCGTAGTAACACGTTCCACAAAAATGTGTACTTACTGACTATCCTTGTTTATGAAAAATAATTAAAGTACTATATGCATTGCCATTTGATAAGGAATCTTTCCGTTTTGATTTTTTTGTGGATATTCTTTTTATTCTACTTTTTTTGTTAGAACTTTGAAAGTAACCACTTACACAAAAGATGTTGATATAATAAGGTGGTAGTGTCACAACTATTAAAAATCAAATTTGTTTGTGTAAATATGTAAAGAGGTTCTAATTTCTACATATTCAATATCCGTTTTTTGGGAATGCACTTCTCTGTCCAACAGCACTTTGACAATATAAAGAAATTATTAACCAACACGTTACTTGTCATGTTATGTTTCTGCTCTGACTAATATTACTGGAAATGTTCGATATTGGAATGAAATAATAGGTTAAATATCAAAAGCAGATAGAAGATGCCTACCTAGTCGAGTTTTTATTTGTTTCTCTTTCTGAACTTTATAAAATTTTTCAGTTTTTCATTAGACCTGTTGATAACTTGTACTATGAGTTTGATATGCACACTGAACATAGACATTTCTTAATCATGTGCTAGTATTTAAAAAAATCCTATATCAAGAAGAAAGCACAACGTCTTCATTTAACATATTATTCCTAAATATTTGAATCGAGAAAGTGACAATCTATAATTGTCCTTCTATGACTGATATGTCTACTTTAAAGTAAGATAATCATCTTTCATATGACGAAAATAGGTGATTATTATTTTCATATGACTTAAGAACAGTGTTTGGTATATGAATTATGACATAGTTTTAACCATAAGGAATGTTGTTAAGTAAATGTGTAAGCATACTATAGGCATACAGTATTTAGGAAGATACTAGGAAGCATGCAGTTATCTGGTATCTGGTATGATATACATATACCTTGACCAGTCTTTGGTTTAAATATCTACCTTGTTTTTTTTAGATCTGACATTCTAGGTTTTTTTCTTTTGTTGCATGCATACGAGATTTCGAAAATAAATCAAAAATCATATAACGATGACACGATCTCATGTGCCTTTTGACAATACATCAACTGTGATGTTTTCCTGTGCTGTATCAAGCTTTATCAAATACTTGTAGAAAATAATGGTATAATTGTACCCCTTGATAAAACTAATGTATACATATATTTCTTCATTAAATTTGACGAATTGTCTTAGCCGTGTGATATGACTTTTGTTATCAACTGCTTCCGGTATATATCAACTGTTTCCAACAGTTTAACAAATATGACAGGTTAACATATATTTATTGAGTTTGAAACTTAATATCTCGGGACCATACCAACGGGACACTCTTACATAATCAAATTTAAACCGAAAATGTTAAACACCCTTCCAGTTATCAGTACTTAAACCTTTAGACATAACACGTATCCATAACTTAGTATGCTTATACTTACGATCGAGAAGACGTTGGGCGAGTCTATCAAGGAAGAATCTTTTTGCAACTGAAAGAAAAAAAATCATAACAATAAAGAAATTCAATGTTATAAAAATATTTTAATAAGTCGAAGCAAAGAGGGCTCGAAAAAAAACGATGACAAAGAAAACTAAAAGAGACTATAATACATTGAAAATACTTACGAAAATTCATAGCAAACTATAGAAAGAGCAACACGAACCCCGGCAGAAAATAGGGGCGATCTAAGGTGCTCCGAGAGAAAGGGCCGATTCTGCTCAACAACATCCCTAAAGGAGTAGGGCCACGAAGGGTTAAAAACAAATATTTATTCTGGTGAATATCACGGACAGTATACACCATGCCCTCTCATGGCGTCGTAATTTTTATTTTAATTAAAGAAATATTGAAAAAGCTTATTTAACCACTGTGCAATATGAAATACAAATTCTCACGTGGTTTCGTCTTATGTCCTACGATTTTCTATGTATGCTATTGTTCACAGTTCTGTAATTTATTTACACCATCCGTAGTAATTATTTAAAATGTTAACTTGGCATGCCATACATGATAGAAAATGCGGACGTGAAGGAAAGCATTTCATCAAAGCGTCAACATAAGATTACAATGCGCGGGTTACCTTTCGACGATTTCGTCTTTAAAAAAGATACGTGTATCTAAAAGTAAATTTGTATTGATTTTTTTATGTTGACACCCATATCAACCTGCTGGATATAAAATTTTACGGAAAAAAACTACGGCTCTAATTTAAAACTGTCATATTTTTGTTTGCAAGGCACAGACCGGGCTAATTATTACAAAATAACGGGGAAATGAACTTTAAAATAACTTGCAAATTCATAATTTTTATTTCTACTCATATTTGTTTTGTTTTCTAATAAAAACAGTTATGAGGACGTATCTTTCCGTGTTTAAAAACCTCGCCGGATCGGCGGTTAACGAAGTTTCGCTGAAAACAAAGACTTGTTATTCCTTTTTCTTCTTTTTTGTTTGTTATAAATAAGAAAATGATAAATTATAGAATTTATTTTATTTATAGCAATTGTACAAGTTCTTGGTACAGTTATTTCGTCACAGAATCTATCCTACCTCGGAAATGGCGGCGTTGAATCAGGATTTGCTTGTTAGCAAAAGTTAAATTTTCTATGTGGCCACAGGCCTCGACCACGCTAAATATTGTTGCAAACTGAATCAAAGTGTCAAACAATCAAAATAAGAGTACAATTACTTTGGTCGAGGCCTGTGGCCAACGCGAAATTTAAGAATAAATGCTAATGCGTCGCCAGTAAACTTAATTTGTGATCATCAAATCACCAATTGATGCCGTCGGAGCTTAAAATACAATACAGTTATCTCCAAAACTTGCATTTTGAAAATTGTTCACCAATTATTAAAGTAAATGATGAGTAAAAGTTTTATTGATAAATTTCCATGAAAAAAATGAACGATGAGAAAATGTATATTTGAGTGCACAATAATCAATTTTAACTGAAAATAAACACTTACATTCATTTACTCTTTCTACAGACACTGTGCCTGTTTGCGGATAGGCATATCTGTCCTCCACTGTAATGTGAAAAGAGGCTAAATTATACCTTGACACTACTTTTAATGTGATTATGATTTTAACTAGCAATAACAAGAAACAAAAATGTTTACTAACTGACTATCCTTGATTATAAAAAAGTCAATATCATAATACTGTTTGCATTGCTGCCTAAATTTTTAAGGACTTTGACAATCACCTACTTTTGAGAAAGATTTTGATGTAATAAGTCGTTAATTTGACAATAATCAACATTGTTTTTGGTAATATGTAAGTAGTTTTCATTTCTACAGAAACATTGTCCGTTTGTGGTTAAGCACTTCTCTGACCCCCCCCCCCCCCCCCTGATTAATGACAATATAAAGACATTATACACCAACAGGGTACTTTTCATTTCAAAATTTCTCCTGTAACTGGTATTACTGAACATGTCCGATATTGGAATAAAGAAGTTAGAAGATGCCTAACCCGTCGAGGTTTAATTTGTTCCCCTTTCTGAACTTTATGGATTCATGATTGTTTTACTGTTTTATGTTAGTCCTGACTTTCCTTGATTATAAAAAAATCAATATCAAAATAATGTCTGCATTGCCTTCTACATTTTTCAGGACTTTGACTTTAACCTTAATTTGATGTACAAAGTAGATAGTTTTACAATCATCAAATTTGTTTGTGTTTATATAAAAATGGTATTTTCTACAAAAACAGTGTCCGTGTGTGGGTAGGCACTTCTCTGGCCCAGTGCTAAATTACAATATAAAGAAATTAAACACCGACCATTTACTCTTCCTTCCAATGCAATTTGTTTGTTGACAAGTATTTTGAAGGGTAAGATTTCACGTTCTACTAGTCCGTAACTAAGAAAGACACTGTTCTAATTCCAAATGTTTTGGGTATATAATTTCGCCAAAAAAACATAAGCAAGAAAGTCATTTTTGTGCCTCAAAACCTTTTTTGTCAATATTGAAACCATTCAAAAGCGTACGAAAAGTATAAATTTCTCCTCTGACTGGTATAACTGAAAATGTCCGATGGATTCATTATTGTTTTCTGTTTTAAGTTAGTCCTGGTTTTAACGGTACTATGACTTTGACAATCTTTCTGAACAAAGATACCAATTAACTATTAAAAACGCAATATCAAGAAGAAGGCCCAACATTTTCATTCAACACATTATTCCTAAATATTTGAATTGAGAAAGGGACAATATAAACATAAGTTTATTCATATATATTGTATAACTGCCAATGAAACTACTCTCCACATATGAATTTGATATTTTATGGCGGCCATCTTTGAAAATGCCACCATTTTGAAATTTCAAGGTGGATCAATAGCTAATATTATTTGAAAAATCAAGAACTACTACCATTCCAAATTTGGTGCTGTTATCATCAAACCCACATTTTTTTCATCGATCTGCCGGACTAACAAGACACCAAATGAAACAGAAATTAACAAATACAGGTCTCCGAACGGTCTTCAAAAATGAGCAACACCCATACCGTATAGTCAGCTATGAAAGGCCCCGAAATGAAAAATTTAAAGCAATTTAAACGAGAAAACTAACTGCATAATTTATGTACAAAATAATGAACGAAAAACAAATATGATACACAGAAAACAAACTACAACCACTGAATTACAGGTTTCTGACTTAGAACATACACATACATAATGTGGCGGCGTTAAACATATTAGCGGGCGCCCAAAGTTTCCCTAACCTGGGACAGTGGTGTAACAGTTCAACATAAGCACAAACTATACCAATCAGTTGAAAAGGGCTTTGGCGGTATGGGCTTTGCTCATTGTCGAAGGCTGTACGGTGACCTATAGTTGTTAATTTCTGTGTCATTTGGTGTCTTGTGAAGAGTTTTATCATTGGCAATCATACACCATCTTCTTTTTTTATATTAACTCATCGGATGGATTTAAACAGAACTATATATAACAAAAGCACAGTGTTGACGTTAAATGGTACAGTTGTCATTTAATGAATGATTTGTCTACTTTAAAATAAAGAAACCATATTTTGCTAGTCGAAAATATGAGATTACTTTAGTAAGGCTAAAGAACTGTGTCTGGGATATGAATGAACCTTAAAATTGTGTAAGTTATTAACTATAAGGGTAGTTGTTAAGTAAATGTACACGTATATTATAGTTTGTAATTATATAGGCATATTCACCTTTATTAGCGGGGAAGTATGGAGTTATCTGGTACATTATACATACGGCCTTGACCATTGTTCGGCTATATTTTATATGTTGTGTTTTAGATTTGACATTCTAAGGTTTTTCTTATGTTTCGTTTTAAAAGAGATTTTGAAAACCATTCTTTCATTGTATGGAGCGTGAATCTAATAACGACGTTATAATTTCAATTGCCTTTAGAAAATGAATCAACACTTATTATATTCTATGTTGCATAAGGCTTATTCGTAGCGATGCCAAAAGCGTTAACTATGATGAAAAAGGTCGAGGGAAAGTGTTAACTCTCTATAATAAGAAATAATGAAATATTATAGTATAAATGAATTTTACAATAATTTCACAAGAATTATCTACTAAAGAAGACCAAATCTATAACAATTAATTACAATATAGAATAAAACAAAACTTACATTCGTGCACTTTCTCTGCAGAAACCGTGCCTGTTTGTGGGTAAATATACCGTTTATTTACTGTAATAAGACAATAGAAGATTACGAATACACTTATTTATCATCGATTATATCATGCAACAAAGTTAATATTTCAGACTCAATATAACATATTTGATCACTGTGACATTTGAAGCAGGAGATACATACTTTATTGAGGTATAATATTTACTCCTTTTACAAATGATCCATTTGCAAATGTTTGCAGTTGACTTTTGATTCTTAAATGAACATCAGTTTGAATGATTTATGAACAAATGTATACATATATATCTATATATATATTCGGCCGTTGTCTGCTCTGTGGTCGGGCTGTTGTCTCGTTGACATAGTCCCCATTTCCATTCTCAATTTTATATAACATATATAGGTATAAATCGTCTCAAATATAGCCCAACAATAATTGATCTTCAAATTTTTGGTCTTCCCTCAGCTGGACTGGAACCCTAGCTGTGACAACATGGCAACACTGCCTGTACGTTCTAAACTGTTTGAACTTCTCCTTTTTAATTATCTTATACAGCTTAAGAGGTCTCATGATTAATTTTGTTAATAGTCGCGCGACTTGCGAGTAGCCTTAGTGTTGTGAGGAGATCTCAAATTTTGACAGAGAAGTCTTAGTGATTAATGATTATAGAGATAATGATAGCAGAAAAGACTTTATGAAATAGCTGTCCTGACTCATCCGTATTATTATGACCATATTTACTCTATTGTAATTACATAATACTTGACGTCCTGCAAGAAACATGATTCAAATTTTTGCATATAATTATCTAAAGTTCTCCATCTTTTACCAATACCTTTGACATGTTTACCTTGTTTAAGAAATTGATTGTGGTAAGATTAACAAGCTGCAGATTTGTTTGTGGTACTGTAACTTCATACAATTTTGCGAAATTACGACGGAATATGGTTCGCAAAAATTGAAACTCGAATTTTAAGTTTAGTATAGCATTTTATGTGTGTTATATTTCTTGAAATCACTATTAAGCATCTCATAAATATGTCCATCGATCAAAAATAACAATCATAGTCAACGTTTTAGTTTTTACACATTTATCAATTTTAAATGAAGATTAACACTTACATTCATTTAATCTTTCTACAGAGACTGTGCCTGTTTGTGGATAGGGATATCTGACCTTTACTGTAATGTGACAAATAGGCAAAATTATATCTTGACACTTATACCATCGTGATTATGATTTCTACTCGTAGTAACACGTTCCACAAAAATGTGTACTTACTGACTATCCTTGTTTATGAAAAATAATTAAAGTACTATATGCATTGCCATTTGATAAGGAATCTTTCCGTTTTGATTTTTTTGTGGATATTCTTTTTATTCTACTTTTTTTGTTAGAACTTTGAAAGTAACCACTTACACAAAAGATGTTGATATAATAAGGTGGTAGTGTCACAACTATTAAAAATCAAATTTGTTTGTGTAAATATGTAAAGAGGTTCTAATTTCTACATATTCAATATCCGTTTTTTGGGAATGCACTTCTCTGTCCAACAGCACTTTGACAATATAAAGAAATTATTAACCAACACGTTACTTGTCATGTTATGTTTCTGCTCTGACTAATATTACTGGAAATGTTCGATATTGGAATGAAATAATAGGTTAAATATCAAAAGCAGATAGAAGATGCCTACCTAGTCGAGTTTTTATTTGTTTCTCTTTCTGAACTTTATAAAATTTTTCAGTTTTTCATTAGACCTGTTGATAACTTGTACTATGAGTTTGATATGCACACTGAACATAGACATTTCTTAATCATGTGCTAGTATTTAAAAAAATCCTATATCAAGAAGAAAGCACAACGTCTTCATTTAACATATTATTCCTAAATATTTGAATCGAGAAAGTGACAATCTATAATTGTCCTTCTATGACTGATATGTCTACTTTAAAGTAAGATAATCATCTTTCATATGACGAAAATAGGTGATTATTATTTTCATATGACTTAAGAACAGTGTTTGGTATATGAATTATGACATAGTTTTAACCATAAGGAATGTTGTTAAGTAAATGTGTAAGCATACTATAGGCATACAGTATTTAGGAAGATACTAGGAAGCATGCAGTTATCTGGTATCTGGTATGATATACATATACCTTGACCAGTCTTTGGTTTAAATATCTACCTTGTTTTTTTTAGATCTGACATTCTAGGTTTTTTTCTTTTGTTGCATGCATACGAGATTTCGAAAATAAATCAAAAATCATATAACGATGACACGATCTCATGTGCCTTTTGACAATACATCAACTGTGATGTTTTCCTGTGCTGTATCAAGCTTTATCAAATACTTGTAGAAAATAATGGTATAATTGTACCCCTTGATAAAACTAATGTATACATATATTTCTTCATTAAATTTGACGAATTGTCTTAGCCGTGTGATATGACTTTTGTTATCAACTGCTTCCGGTATATATCAACTGTTTCCGGTTTATAACAACTGCTTCCGGTTATTATCGCAAACCTTTCTTTAACGTAAACGCAAAGCATTTCGACGTCATTCGGTAAATTCCGGAAAATAAACCTCAGTGATAAATTTTAGTGAAAAACGTAGCTAAGTAGTTTAAAAGAAGGAATATTAGGAAACAGGAAAATATATAATTAAAAAATGCAAAACAAATAAAACAATAAATGAATTTTATAAAGTTTTAAAACAAGTTGTCTGTATGGCTTCTGCTGAAGTATATGATAAAAAGCCTGTCGGCTCTGGGGCTGATATCATGACCTAGGGCTGATAAGGGGTCTGATATGAAAAACGTCATGTTATAATCTATATATATCGACACACAAGTGATAAATATGACAGAGGAACAGAGTAAGCAAACCCCCCCCCCCCCCCCCCGATGATCAATAGTTAAGCGACTGAGATCACCCCCAGTTTTGGGTGGGGTTCGTGTTGCTTAGTCTTTAGTTTTCTATGTTGTGTCATCTGTACTATTATTTGTCTGTTTGTCTTTTTATTTTTGGCCATGACGTTGTCAGTTTGTTTTCGATCTATGAATTTGACTGTCCCTCTGGTATCTTTCGTCCCTCTTTTAAGAAATATGATAGTACACATGCTTTTACAATAAGTACTTAGTAAGGACGAACAGGAGCTACTGTTTTATCAAATCCATAAGAAATAACTACAAACTACAAACTAAAAAAAATTAAACTTACATTCGTGCACTTTTTCTGCCGAAACTGTGCCTGTTTGAGGGTAAATATACCTTTTAAGTACTGTAATAAAAAATAACTGTTGTTTTAAATATATTTGGGATGGTAAAAATGACAAAGTAAAGAGAAATGTAATTATCGGCGAAAATCAAAGAGGGGGATTAAAATGGTTGATTTAGATAACTATTTTATGGCACTGAAAGATTCATGGATTTTCAGATTAACAACCAGATCTGAGTAAAATTTTTCTTGTCTTTAACATGAATTTAGATAATGTGAAATCACTGATAAAAATTAAGAAAAACACAGGAATTTTATATGCAGGTAGTTTCAAGTCGGGTGAAAACAGGAGGAGGTTTGATGAAATTTAAAGATCATTTTTCAAATATCAGAAAAATATGGGGAAATAGACACACTAAACATTGCAACAAAAGCTTGTTCTTTCAAAACTGGGTAAAAAAGTGGATTGATAAATATTAAGGACATACTGGATCGTGAGGAAAAGCTATCACAGGCTTTTATATTAGAAAAGTTAAACGATAAGTCAAATTGGTTTGTAGGCGTTAAGACATTAACATCCCCCATCCCGAAGGAATGGCAGCAAGTTTTAATTAGAAAAATTCTATAAAGGTTCAAATCAGTATTTATAAGGATAAAGTGAGATGTGAAAATAAACAAATCCAAAACAAAAGATATCTATAATAAAATGTTAGTAGATGAACACAATTTACACATCTAATTGGTATCTATAGTTGGATAAGTTATTTAAAGTTAAATTACAGTCCATATATAATATTCTTGAGTGAGAGAAAAAGATGAAAGTTTTTAAATGGAAACTGCTTTTGTATATTATTGCTACAAAGCAGTTTCTATTTAGATGGAACATTTCTAACGAAAATACATGTTTTTTGTACAACAGAAGAGGAAACTAATTTACCTTTATTTATTTCATGTTCATTTTAAAGAGATTTTTGGGCGGAAGAAGAAAATCTTGAAACCAAACTCAATTTTAAAATCAAGATATCAGAAAAAATGTATTTTTCATTAATTTCAAGAAATTAATATCATAGAATAATAAGGATATATTGTCATACTTTATGTAATGTTTTTTATGATTATTTTCTGAGTATTTTCCTGGCCACTCAGAAAGTATTGCACAGGAATACTCCCCTAGCGTTCTGACAGTGAAGTAGAATAGAAACAAGCAATCTAAATGATTAAGAACATATCTTTGTTGTTCAAAAAAAGAGAAAAAAAAACTCATTACCTATACACTTCACTATCATCGATTATATCATGCAACAAAGATTATAATTCAAACTCGAAATAAAATACATGATTAATGTTAACGGGGGAGACATGCAAAGCAGGAGATATATAACCTATCAAAGTACTGTGATAGCTCAGTTTAGAATTGGTCCATATGCATGATATATCATTATTGATATGTTATATTTGTTGAAAAAGCTCTAAATCATCTTGCAATTTTGTCCTTTTTTAGAAACTGAAATGGTAGTTTAAATATTGCATTCTCAAAATTATTTAACATCTTTTATATCATATGATGATTAATCGTTTAAATGATTGCACAAATGTCAATTTTAAAGGAAAATTAACACTAACATTCATTTACCCTTTCTACAGAGACTGTGCCTGGTTGTGGATAGGGATATCTGACCTTTACTGTAGTGTGACACATAGGCAAAATTAAACCTTGACACTATTTCTAATGTGATTATGATTTTAACTAGCAATAACAAGAAACAAAAATGTTTACTAACTGACTATCCTTGATTATAAAAAAAATAATATCAAAGTATGGTTTGCATTCCAGTCTATAATTTAAGGACTTTGACTATAACCTAATTTTGATGTACTAAGTAGATAAATTTACAATTATCAAATTTGTTTGTGTAAATATACAAGTGGTTTTAATTTCTATAAAAAATCAGTGTCCACTTCTCTTGCCAAGTGCTACATGACAATATAAAAACATTAAACACCGACACGTTATGGACAGTTGTTGTCCATTCGTTTGATGTGTTTTGCGATTGAATTTTCCTCGGAGTTCAGTATTTTTGTGATTTTACTTTTTACTCTCCATTCTAATGCAATTTGTTTGTAACGATAATTTTCATTGGATGTTGACAAGTATTTTGAAGGGTAAGATTCCACGATCTACCAGTCCGAAACTAAGAAAGCCATCATTTTGATATCCGAATTTTTTTGATATGCAGTTTTCTATCTAAGTAAGCAAGAAAGTCAAATTTTGTGCCTCAAAATCTTCTTTTTGTCAATACTGAAACCAATTCAGAAGCGTACGAAAAGTATAAATTTCTCCTCTGACTGGTATTACTGAAAATGTCCGATATTGGAATCATGTAATGGGTTATATATCCAATCCCAGTTCTGAACTTGATGGATTCATTATTGTTTTCTGTTTTATCATGTTTATGTTAGTCCTTCTTTTAACGGTAATATAACTTTGACAATCTCTCTGAACATAGATACCGTTTGAATATTAAAAAAACAATATTTAGAAGAAAGCACAACATTCACATTCAACACAATATTCCTAAATATTAGAATCGAGAAAGTGACAATATAAAAATAAGTTTGATTATATATAGTGTATGATTGCCAATGAAAAAAATCTTCGCATATGATTTTGATATTTATGTCGGCCATCTTGGAAAATGCCACCTTTTTGAAATTTTGAGGTTGGTCAATATCTTATATTAATTAAAAAATCAAGAACTACTATCATTCACAATTTGGTGCTTATATCATCGAACCGACAATTTTTTCACCGATCTGCCGGACTAGCAAGAAACCAAATGAAACAGAAATTAACAAATACAGGTCTCTGAACGGTCTTCAAAAATGAGCATCACCCATACCGTATAGTCAGCTATAAAAGGCCCCGAAAAGACAAATGTAAAAAAAATTAAGAGAAAAGTTTGACAGTATAGGCTTTGCTCATCGTTGAATGCCGTTCAGTGACCTATAGTTTTTAATTTCTGTGTCATTTGGTCTCTTGTGAAGATTTGTCTCATTGGCAATCATACCGCATCTTCTTTTTTTAACTCATCCGATAGATATAAACAGATTTACATATAACAGAAACACAAGATAGACGGGAAATGGTACAGTTGTCCTTTAATGAATGATTTGTCTGCTTTAAAGTAAAGCAACCATCTTTTTCTAGAAGAAAATAGGAGATTACTTTCGTAAGGCTAAAGAACTGTGTCTAGTATATGAACGAACCTTAAAATTGTGTAAGTTATTAACCATAAGGGTTGCTGTTAAGTATATTTGAACGTATATTATAATTATTAAGTATTTAGGAAAAATCAACTTTCTTTACGGGGAAACATGGACATATCTGATATATTATACATACGGCCTTCATCACTGTTAGACTATAGTCTACATGTTCTATATGTTGTGTTTTAGATTTGACATTCTAATGTTTTTTTTTTTGTTTCTTTTTAAAAGAGATTTTGAAAACCATTTATTCATTGTATGGAGCGTGGATCTAATAACGACGTTATAATCCTAATGGCCTTTTTAAAATGAATCAACAATTATTTTATCCTATGTTGTATGAGGCTTATATGTAGCGATACCAAACGCGTTAACTATGATGAAAAAGGTCGAGGGAAAGTGTTAACAAATCTCTAAAATAAGAAATAATGAAATGTTATAGTATAAATGAATTTTACAATAATTTCACAATAAATACCTACTAAAGAAGTTAAAGAGTTAATATTTCAGCAAATCTATAACAATTAATTGCAACTTAAAATAATACACAACTTACATTCGTGCACTTTCTCTGCAGAAACCGTGCCTGTTTGTGGGTAAATATACCGTTTATTTACTGTAATAAGACAATAAAAGATTATGAATGTACTTACTTATCATCGATTAAGTCATGCAATAAAGTTTATAACCGTAACTTGATATAGCATACATTATAATTTTTGACGGGTGTGGCAGGATATATATACTCTATCGAGGTATTGTGTTTACTAAGTTTGGAGTTGATCCAATGGTGAAAGTTCGCAGTTGACCTTTGATACAACATTGAATATCAGTTTGCATTATTCATAAATGCTTGTACTTATATATACTATAAACTATGTATTGATATACGTCGAAAAGTTGTTATAAAAAGCAACACAAAAATAGTACAATTATCAATCATTATCAGTTGATGATTGATGCGTAATTGAATATTAGTTTGTATTATTGATAAACGTATGTATTTATATATATTACGGATTGCAAATGTGTCGAATTTTGTGATTGGATAACAACACAGAGATGTCAGAATATATCCATGAAAGTGCCGGGGTATATACCACGTTTTTTTTTATACCGTTTGAAACCTCAACAACGTCAACATAATACCTGTACTATGTGACGTAGTCTAAAGCTATACAGAACACTTAAAGAATTTAGAGGCTCTTAGAGGAAAAATAGTGACGTGCATCCGTCAATAATACATGTTTAATTCCAAATCACGCAATTTACACTCCAAATACTAAAAATTAATGTTTTAAAGTGTTTTTATAAATTATTACATACACGATAATATTTTTTTTACAAAATCCTTCACGTATGCGGAAAATATCAGGTTGGAGTTCTATGTGGTTGTTACAAAAATAGTCAAACAAACATACAAACAGTAAACATGAAATCTAAAACCTTTGATGAAAATATCTTCTGAACGAAAAAAATTGTTGTCAAGACGAAGAAAGAGCATTTATATGAATATCTCAAAACATTAAGAAAAAAAAAAAACAAAACAAAAACATGTAAGAAAATATATTCTGTATTGTGAATGTTTAACAAGTCTTACAAATACCTGGTACAGAAAAAAACATGAATGCAGGGGTAATCCGTAATATATGTAAAATTCAAGTCTCAGTCAAGGTATATAATGTGACATTCCCGGCTTAAGGTTTATATCCCTTATATAATGTATTGGTTTACGCCAAAAAAGTGTAAAGAAAAGCATCACAAAACTATCAAGTAAAAACGTACAATTATCAATAAATATATTGGATACCCGATATTCTGTAGGATGAAAAGTGGAGTTCTTTATTGATTTTTATACTTATAGAAAAGTTATTTGTAAAATCCTAGTTCATGTTCTTAAGCATTTGGAATATATGGGACTGCGTAATTGTACATCCGAAATAACACTCATCTAGCTGTTGTTTTTAGCACTGCAGTCTTTGAACTACACTTGTTTTTACTAGATTGAGTCTCTACTACCTAGACCAAAGCTTTATTGTGATTAACGTAATAAATAGTCAGGCAATTGTGATATCTCTTAGTGTTGTCAAAAGCTCTAAAATGTCGACTAAAAGACAATCTTGCTGACTTTTCTTACGAATTCTATTCTTCGTTCAAAAATAGCAATTATAAATGCACGACATATTTCAATTGTACAGTATTAATAAAGTCTGGTATGAAAATGCATTTCGTCGTTATAAGTAAAAGAATGTACTTGTATGCATATGTCAAGGAAGCAAGCTGTTATTTTGTGTAATGCAAATAACACCCCGATTCTGCGTCCGCTAAAATCAGCACGTAAAGTTGGCAAGTTTCTTTTGTATTCAATTCTCAAGAAACTGACATTTAAAATTAAATCTTGCATTCTGAAAATTATTTAACAAATATTGTTTTCCATGAAAAAAATGAACGATGAGAAAATGTATTAATGATTGCACAAATGTCAATTTTAACTGACGATTAACACTAACATGCATTTACTCTTTCTACAGAGACAGTGCCTGTTTGTGGATGGGTATATCTGTCCTCCACTGTAATGTGAATAGAGGCAAAATTATACCTTGACACTTTTCTAATGTGATTATGATTTTCACTAGCTATAACAAGAAACAAAAATGTTTACTAACTGACTATCCTTGATTATAAAACTTTAATACAAATGTACTGTTTGCATTGCTGCCTAAATATTTAAGGTCTTTGGCAATAACCTACTTTTGATGTACTTAGTAGGTAGTTTTATAATTATCAAAGCTGTTTGTACAATATCAATATAAAAGTAGTTTTAATTGTAACATAGACCGTGTCCGTTTTTAGGTTTGCACTTATGTGGCCCAGTACTAAATGACAATTTAAAGAAAATGATACACCGAAACGTAACTCTTAATTTCAAAATGTCTGACAAGTATTACTGCAAATATCTGATATTGGAAATCAGTGATGGATTAAATATCCAAAGCAGATAGAAGACATGAAATATGTCTACTCAGTCGAGTTTTAGTTTTTTCTTTCTTTCTGTAGTTGATGCATTCATAATTGTTTTCAGGTTTATGGTTGACCTGTTTTTAACTTATACGAAGACGATGACATGCTAATTAAATAAATGACTTGATATTAAAAATTCAATATAAAAAATAAAGCCCAACCTTTTCATTCAACTTATTATTCCTACATATTTGAATCTTAAAAGTGAAAATGTACAATTGCTTTTCATTAACTCCTTCTATGACTTATATGTTTGCTTTAAAGTAAGGAGACCATTTATTATGAGGCAAAACTTGAAAGTTATTTTACTACGACTAAACAACTGTGTTTGGCATATAAATGAACATTACAATTGTGCAAGCTTTGACCTAGTATTAACCATAAGAGACGTTGTTAAGTAAAAGAGAGGCCACAAATAAGTGCCTACGGCTCAAGGAATTTAAACTCTAAGCCGAGAATGTCACATTATATACCCTGTGTGAGACCTGAATAACATATAATATAATGTATTGGTATACGCCAAAAAAGTGTAAAGAAAAGCAACCCAAAAATATCAAGTAAAAAGTACAATTATCAATAAATATATTGGATACCCGATATTCTGTAGGATGGAAAGTGGAGTCTTATAAATCTTTATTGATTTTCATACTTATAGAAAAGTTATTTGGAATCACATTTCATGATGTTATTAAGCATTTGAAATATTTGGGACTGCGTAATTGTACATCCCAAATAACACTCATCTAGCTGTTGTTTTCAGCACTGCAGTCTTTGAACTACACTTGTTTTTACTAGATTGAGTCTCTACTACCTAGACCAAGGTTTTATTGTGATTAACGTAATAAATAGTCAGTCGATTGTGATATCTTTTAGTGTTGTCAGAAGATCTCAAATGTCGACTAAAAGACAATCTTGCTGACTTTTCTTACGAATTCTATTCTTCGTTCAAATATAGCAATTATAAATGCACGACATATTTCAATTGTACAGTATTAATTAAGTCTGGTATGAAAATGCATTTCGTCGTTATAAGTAAAAGAATGTACTTGTATGCATATGTCAAGGAAGCAAGCTGTTATTTTGTTTAATGCAAATAACATCCCGATTCTGCGTCTGCTAAAATCAGCACGGGACTTTTCAAATGTAAAGTTGGCAGGTTTCTTTCGTATTCAATTCTGAAGAAACTGACATTTAAAATTAAATCTTGCATTCTGAAAATTATTTAACAAATATTGTTTTCCATGAAAAAAATGAACGATGAGAAAATGTATTAATGATTGCACAAATGTCAATTTTAACTGACGATTAACACTAACATTCATTTACTCTTTCTACAGAGACTATGCCTGTTTGTGGATGGGGATATCTGTCCTCCACTGTAATGTGAATAGAGGCAAAATTATACCTTGACACTATTTCTAATGTGATTATGAGTTTAACTAGCAATAACAAGAAACAAAAATGTTTACTAACTGACTATCCTTGATTATAAACACTTCAATACCAATGTACTGTTTGCATTGCTGCCTAAATATTTAAGGTCTTTGGCAATAACCTACTTTTGATGTACTGAGTAGGTAGTTTTATCAAAGCTGTTTGTTCTAATATAAAAGTAGTTTTAATTTTAACATAGACCGTGTCTGTTTTTAGGTTTGCACTTCTGTGGCACAGTACTAAATGACAATTTAAAGAAAATGATACACCGACACGTAACTCTTAATTTCAAAATGTCTGACAAGTATTACTGCAAATATCTGATATTGGAAATCAGTGATGGATTAAATATCCAAAGCAGATAGAAGACATGAAATATGTCTACGTAGTCGAGTTTTAGTTTTTTCTGACTTTCTGTAGCTGATGCATTCATAATTGTTTTCAGGTTTATGGTTGACCTGTTTTTAACTGATACCAAGATGATGACATGCTATTAAATAAATGACTTGATATTAAAAATTCAATATAAAAAATAAAGCCCAACCTTTCCATTCAACTAAATATTCCTACATATTTGAATCTTAAAAGTGAAAATGTACAATTGCTTTTCATTAACTCCTTCTATGACTTATACGCTTGCTTTAAAGTAAGGAGACCATTTATTATAAGGCAAAACTTGAAGGTTGTTTTACTACGACTAAACAACTGTGTTTGGCAGATAAATGAACCTTACAATTGTGCAAGCTTTGACCTAGTATTAACCATAAGAGACGTTGTTAAGTAAAAGAGAGGCCACAAATACCAAACAGACATTAAAACTCATAAGTAAAAAATGACCTGACAACATCTAGTTGTATGTGTAAGTAATGTCATATGTGTTAACTATAAATGAAGATGCGACTTTTGTAAGGCCCTAATTACCCCCTTGATTTCTATCTTGTGTTTAAGATTTGACATTGTCATGGTTTTCTAGTGTTACATTTATAAAACATTTAAAAAATTAAACAACCATTCCTTCATTGGATGGAACGTGAATCTTATAACGATATTACATTTATAATCTCAATTCCCTTTGGGAAATGGATCAACAATTATTTTATCCTCTGTTGCATGAGACTTATAGTGATGCCACAAGCATGAAATATGGTGAAAAATGATAAA